ACCAACATATTGAGTATGGGGCAACTCACAGATAAAGGTTACTCGATATTCTTAAAAGACCTTCTGCTACACCTAAAGGACAAGCAAGGGCGTTCGGTTGCTCGAATCGAGATAGGAAGAAATCGGATGTACAAACTGAATTTAAGAAGCATACGAGAAAATTATTTTCGAGTCGACGTAGAAGACAAGGCATCACTGGGGCATCTTTGCTTTGACCACCTACATCATGGGGGCTTAAAAGAGTTAGCAAACAAGAATATGGTGCACTGGCTACCCAACATGGACTACGAAGGAAAATTTTGTGAAGAATGCGTGCTCAGCAAGCATGCAAGAACCTCAATTCAAAAGAAGTCTGAATTTTAGGCTAAACAACCTCTCAAGTTGATTCATACAGATATATGTAAGACCAATTACCCCTGAGTCTTTCAGCGGTAAAAGGTATTTCATTTTCTTTATCGATGATTAGTCACAAAAAAACTTGGGTTTACTTTCTAAAAGAAAAATTCAAGGCATTCAAGGTGTTCAAAAAGTTCAAAGTGATGGTGGAGAAGGCAACTGGTAGACACATCAAAGTTGTACAATCCGATAAAGGTGGCAAGTATACCTTGACGACTTTCATGGAGTATTGCGAGGAGCAAGGCATAAGACAATTTCTAACCGCACCGTACACCCCTCAACAAAATGGTGTGGTCGAGAGAAAAAATCGGACCATTCTCGACATGGTTCGATCAATGCTCAAGAACAAAAGGATGCCAAAGGAATTTTGGGCATAAGTCGTGCAATGCGCCATCTATGTGCAAAATCGATGTCCACATGCGAAGTTAGATGATCAAACACCACTAGAAGCTTGGAGCGAATAAAAGTCTACAATTTCTCATCTCAAACTGTTTGGTAGTGTGGCTTATGCTCACGTACTGGATCAACGAAGAATGAAACTTGAAGACAAAAGCAAAAAGTACATTTTTATTGGGTATGATGAGAAGACAAAAGGATACAGGCTACTTGACCCGATAAGCAAGATGGTGATGGTAAGTCGTGATGTACGAGTAAATGAAGCAAGCGAATGAGACTGGAACAATTCGACGGAAGTTAATATCGATGTTGGAGAATCATTAGTCGTTGCACCAACAAGTATACCAACAAACTCAGAAATTTCTGATGATGAAGATGAACCACAACAACTCAAATGCAAAGTTTGCAAGACTTGTATGATTCAATGAGGTACACTTGTGTATGTCTTTTGTCAAAGGCCCAATGTTAGATGAATCCCTGTTGTTTAGTTAAACATTTCCTATTTTGTTGTTAAAGTGATCATATTTATTTGATTAGCCACACAAACGAGGCATCAATTTAGTTGACATTTTCTTTTCTATTTGTAGGATAAGTTGTAATTTAAATATGCTAATTGAATGACAAATTCCAATCTGGGTGTTCACAGAAAATATTCTCTCTCCCTTTATTTTAAGTTATTTTCTTCTTCCAACAGTTTTTCTTTGGCCATTTTTTATTTGGTTGACCATTTCCTTTCGATTGTTAGAAGTCAACACTGAAAATATTAGATTTGAAGAGGCGGTGTGAGACAAGAAGTGGCAAACTGTCATGGATGAGGAGATTAAAGCGATTTATCGCAACAATACATGAGAGTTAACAGAATTATCGAAAGGAAGTCAACCCATTGGTGTGAAGTGGGTGTTCAAGAAAAAGATAGAATGTTCAAGGCAAGATAGAGCGGTACAAGACATGACTTGTTGCGAAGGGATACAAGCAAAAGGCGAATCGACTATGACGAAGTGTTTGCCCCTGTTGCAAGAATGGAGACAATCCGACTGCTCATTTCTCAAGCGGCTCAATTCAAATGGCCGATCTTTTAAATAGATGTCAAGTCGGCATTCTTGAATGGTGTGCTTGAAGAAGTCTACCTCGAACAACCACCCGGGTACGTAAAAATTGGAGAAGAGAAGAAGGTACTAAAATTGAAGAAGGTGATTTACGGGTTGAAGCAAGCACCGCGAGCATGGAATACTCGTATCGATACATATTTCAAGAAGAACGGGTACAAGCAATGTCCCACGAGCATGCACTTTACACAAAGAAGAGTGGAGATAATGTGATACTTGTTGCTCTTTATGTCGATGACCTCATTTTTTTGGGTAACAATGATGAGATGATAAAAGAGTTTAAAAGCACAATGACATGAGAATTTGAGATGACAGATTTGAGTTTGTTGAAGTTTTTCCTTGGTTTGGAGGTTAAACGAGGAGAGACAGGTATTTTTATATCATAGGAGACATATGCAAAGGAGATTTTGAAGTACAAGATCGAAAATTGCTACTCGGTATCAATACCAATGGAGCCAGGTGCAAGACTCTCAAAGTACGATGAAGGAGAACGAGTGAATTCAAATAGGTACCGGTGTTTGGTATGAAGTTTTTGCTATCTTACATGCACACGACTAGATTTTTCATTAAGTGTCAACATTATAAGCCGGTTCATGGGGAGCCGATTTATTCACATTGGAAGGTGTTGAAGCGAGTCCTACGGTACATCCAAGGAACGATGTCACTTGGGTTATTCTACTCGAAAACAGAAGATTACAAGTTGGTTGGTTACTCTGACAGTGATTGGTGCGGAGACATAGACGATCAAAAAAGTACATCGGGTTATGTATTCTTTATGGGCAACACAACATTTACTTGGCTTTCAAAGAAACAACTGATCGTGACAGTCTCAACGTGTGAAGCTGAATATGTGGCAGCATCTTGGTGTGTGTCAGGCGATATGACTTAGAAATTTGTTGAGCAAGATGGAGCTAAAGCAACTAGGTGCAACCGTGATTCAAGTTAACAACAAATCATAAATTGAGTTGGCAAAGAACCTAGTTAACCGTGAAAGAAGCAAACGCATTGACGTTCATTTTCACTTTATCCAAGATCATGTGAAGGAAGGACGTGTGGAATTGCTACATGTGGCAAGTCAGGATCAAGTTGTAGGTATCTTTACAAAACCTCTATCGAAAGTATTTTTCGACAAATACAAGAAGATGATTGACATGATAGAGGGTAGGAGCATTTATGGGAGAGTTTTGTTGAATAAACATTAAATGTTATTTGTAGTTAATTTTAGTAAGTTTTAATTCAAAAGTTAGAGGTAAAGAAAAAGGACAAAGTGTTCTTAGAAAACAGTGACTTTTTATGGCTCACGAAATAGTGTCATTCTAATGACTATAATTAGTTTTAGAAGATGTGAATGCTTATAAATACATTGTTTTTTTTTAGGTAAAGAAGCATAGAAAAAGAAAAAAACAAAGAACTAATAGAAAGAGTTTTTTTAGATAAATAGAGTGTTATTTATCTCTTCACTCTCAAAAGAAAAATGAGTGTCCGTGAGATTTCTTTCCCAAATTCTGTGAGAATTCTTTTCACAGTTTCTTACCGTGAGTGTGCAAGGACCTCTGGCTGGTTACTATCCCGTTCCGTGTTCTGTTCATCGGTCTTGGAAAACGTTTCTCTTTCACTTGCCAGAAAATCTTGCTTCTTCTTGTTCTTTGTCTATTGTTCCATTCTCTCTTCCTTGCAGGTTGTCTTTGGGAGAAGCGGCTGAAGAGTTGATGCAGCTTGGGCGTAACGTGAGCGTCTAGAAAAGCGTGGAATGCATACTCTGTTCGTTGCTCGAGAATTCCGGCACCTCATCGAAATTCTCGGGGTTTTCTGAAGACTCAATTTTTTTTTAATTTGCTGGCCATTACAGGTTACCAATACTTTCGCTATGAGGATGAAGTGTTCATTCCCTTCAATAACCATGTCACGAGAGACATAAGGGATTTTTGAAGTTACGAGCTATAGGCCAAATTTGAATCTTGACCCAAGGAGATGTCAGGGTCATTTATACAAAATTCAAATCTTAATCCAAAGTGACGTTGGGTTGGTCAGGGACACCATGGGCCAAACTTGAAATTCAAATACTGGTACACATCTGGATATGAGTCTCTAGAATTATGAATACAAACCGGAGTATGTATGAGACAAGAACCAAGTACTAAGAATCTTAAAACCTAGGCCACTTAGATGAGAGACAAGAAATGAGTGTGGTACCCTAGCATCTCCTATTGACATGATTAAAAGCCTATTACTCACCGGGTTTTCATATTCAATCATTTCTTTTTTTTTTTTTTTATGTTTTTCAGGTTATTAAGAAATGGGTCGAGAATGAGAACAAATCTAGAACAGATGTCATATAGAGCCACATTGAATTTTCAACTATTTAATGTGGTAAGTTGTTCGGTTTTACTAGGTCCAATATATTTAAAATTATAAACTTTACTTTGTAGTTGTAAATATAAAATATATTTGTATTTTATATCTTTTTAAACGCCCCAAATACAAGCTTTAGAAAATCTTTCAACTCGATCAACTCTACGAAGAAATGAGTTCCAAGGTGCAACTAGGTATTCATGGGTACATATTCAAATAAATATTTTGAAAAAAACTTAAAATAATAATAAATAAATAAATAATGTTTCTGTGTAAGCCTTCCACGTCAGATCTCCGCGGTATTGTGGTGTTTAACTGCCACATATTTGATCGAATCCAAGTCCAGTGGGGCCCAGGAACTTGTGGCCAAGACACAGCGAGTATTATATATTATTTCTACTCGCCAACCTAAGCCCCAAACAAAATACTGACTTTATAGTGCACCAAATACCTCCAAAAAGCCAAGGAGGAGTGGACGGAGACGATCCACAAAATATTATCAAACTATTTTACTATATTATTTAATTCGTCCTAAATTATTTTACTTTTATTAACTCAAATTTATATTAAAGATAATCCTAAACTAATAATTAGAAAAATACACCCAAACATCTGACTCATACGTGGGTCCCACCATTGATTCAGAAGATAATGCATTGCCTTTGTTGCAGCCACTAACTAAAAGCCACGTGGTCCAACGTGGATTCTGAACCCCAAGTTCTCCCCTCTATTCATAAAAAGGGGAAAGGAGTAGTAAGCAGAGAAAATAGCAATTATGTTGAAGACGGAAGGTAACTACGGCGGCAATGGGTGGGGGGCTATAATATGCGAGGCATGCGAGACAGCCCCCGCCCAATTCATCTGCAAAGCCGACGCCGCCTCGCTGTGTGCGGCGTGCGACGCGGAGATCCACTCGGCTAACCCACTGGCCCGACGGCACCAGCGCGTGGCGATCAGCAAGGGCGCCATGTTTCCTACGGCGGAAGAAGAGGAGGAGGAGGAGGAGGAGGAGGAGGAGGAGGAGGAGGCGACGGCTTCTTGGCTGCTGATGAATCCAGTGAAGAACAATAGCGGCGGAAGCAACAAGAACAACAGCAATAATGGACTGTTTTTGTTTGGTGGGGAAGATGAGGAGGCGGAGGAGGAGGAGTATTTGAACTTTGTGGAGTTCAATGGGAATAATAATGGATTCGGCAATGGGGATGAGGAGTTTGAGGGATTGAAGAACAACTATGGCGGAGGAGACAGTGTTGTGCCGATTGAGTTTGAAGGGAATAAGGATGATCAGATATTGTTGCAGCAGAGCTACGGAGGCGTTGTTGATGCCTCTGAATTCTTTCACTCTTCCTCCAAACCTTCCTACTCCTATAATAATGCCTTCCTCACCCACGCGGTAAAACCCTCTTTACCTCTCTCTCTTACCTTCATAATTACCCTTTTTATATTAATCGTAATTTTTTTTTTAAACGTAAAAAAGGAAACTAAAATAGTTATATAACACAATATTAGTATTAATTAAATATATTTATTTTGCTTTTAAACAAATGAATACCATAATAAACTCATTTGATTTAATTATTATTATTTTTTAAACTAATACGAATTAATTTAAAAGCTTAAGGTAATTAGTTTACCATCGAATTAAATTATTAAAATTCTCTGTATTTGTGCAACAATATCAGATATCAGTGTCATCAATGGAGGTCGGGGTGGTACCGGAGTCAACAACGACAGCCACCGTGAGCGACATATCAATCTCCAACATGAGGCCACCAAGAGGGACAATAGATCTTTTCTCCGGCACGACGACGGCCGCGGCGGTGGTTCAAATGCCGGCGACCCAATTGAGTCCAATGGACAGAGAAGCCCGAGTTCTACGGTACAGAGAGAAGAAGAAGACAAGAAAGTTTGAGAAGACCATCAGATACGCGTCCAGAAAGGCCTACGCGGAGACCCGGCCTAGAATAAAGGGCCGGTTCGCCAAACGAACCGATGTTGAGGTCCAACTGGACCGGAAATTCTCCAACCCGTTGACGGCGGATGGTGGGTATGGGATTGTGCCTTTCTTTTGAAGGTGATGAAGAAGATGGAAGAATAGGTACGGAATGTTGTTGTTGTTGTTAGTGAAATTAGTAAGCAGTAATTCTAGGTGAATTTTAATTTGACGGTTTAATTATAACATTTGGGTTAAATGTATATGAATTTTTTACTCTCTGTAATTACGTTTGAATTTAGATATAGTATTTTTCGTGTTCAGACAGTTTCAAACTCATTTTACTTGGAAAAATCTAAATTAAAGAATTAAATTTGGAACTTCTCACCATTGAAATTCAAATTTAAATTAATGCTCGTGGTACTGGATTGAATTCTGTCACCATTCGTGGATCTGCTCGTTATCGGAGTTTATGGTGTTAGGCTTGCTCAACTCACACATTCAATCTAGAACATGAAAAAACAAGAGATAGAAAATATAAAGTGAAATATACGTGGTTAACATCACAATGGTATGACAACTAGAAATTTGCGTTGATGACTTCAAATGTGTATAGTTACAGATAATACATCTTATAACCATTTAAACTATATATAGTCATTAAGTAACCCATAAATAAACATAAGAGGATAATCTTTCTCCGTTTCTAATCTATTAAATATCTTTAATATTAAATTATAGTTTACGGTATATTTATTATATGCAAATATCTAGATATTTGTTTTCTTACTATAGGTATCTGTGTTCTTTCCATTTATTACTATTTCCATATTCTGGTAATTTATTTCATTATAAATAGAGAACTTTCACATACCACGTGGGTTGGTTTTAGCAAATATTCTCATAATCCACCCTCTTAAAACTTCATTTTCAAAAGATTCTCCTCATCACAATATGTTAACCACATTGTAACACGATTTGTGAAGCAAACCAAGACTTTACCTAATTTCAATTTCTCAATATTAACACATTTTGTCAACGTATTTGTTAGATTCTTTGCATTCTTTATCTTCTCCAATTGCATATCATCTTCTTCCACTAACTTGCAAGTGAAATGATATCATCTTCTAATGTATTTTTGTCTTTGAATGATAGACAAAATTCTTTATCAATTGTATGACATACTAACTATCCGCATAAAGAATGTTCTCACGATATTTCTTGTCTAATTCTTCTAGATAATTTATCATTCATATCATCTCTTTTCTAACTTCACCTATTTCTACATACTCAGCCTTAGTAGATGAAACAACAACGTAGTTCTAAAGCCTAGACATCTAACTAACTGCTATTTCATTTATGGTATAGAGACGTCCGAGTGTGCTCTTGCTAAAGTCAACATCTCCACCAAGATCAACATCCACAAAACCTTGTAGAATTTCTTTGTCATTGTCATTAGATGTACTTCTCAAATATCTTAGAAACCAATTCACAAGTTTCAAATATTTTTTCGCTGAATCTGTCTTGTACATGCTAACAATTCTCACTGCTTGTGTTATATCAGACCTAGTGTAAACTATAGCATACATCAAGTTCCCAACTACATAAGCATATGGAACTAATGACATGTACTCATGCTTCTTAGCCGCTTTGGGAGATTGCCCCTTTGATAGTTTAACATGATTTTTGAAAGGGGTAGTCCTCCGTTTAACATTATTCATCCTAAATTTGGACAATATCTTCTTAATGTGCCAACAGATCTATCTCAAAAAACCTTCATCCCAAGAATTTGTTTGGATGCACTCAAATCTTTCATCTGAAAACATGCTTGCTTTTATATTGTTTATCTTCCTCATATTAAATCATACCATCAATATATCATTCATACCTAAGAGTAGAAATACATAAGAATTAATATATTCCTTGAAGTAACCAGACTAATCATTTTCAATCCTGTAAAAATCATTCTGGCTCATGAGGGAGTCTGTCGCCGTGCTCGTTTCAATGCATACAAGCCTCTATTGAGCTTGCATACCATGGGTTCCTTGTCTCAAACTACAAACTTTTCTGGTTGTTGAATATAGATCTCCTTGTCTAGATCTTCATGTAAAAATGTTGTTTTTACATCAATTTGTTCAATTGCGAATTATCTTATGTAATAATACTCAACATAATTTAGACAGTAGTTAATTTCACAACAAGAGAAAATTTTTCAATATAATAGATACTTTTTTTTTTCGTGAATGTCCTCTAACTACTAACTGAGCCTTAAACCTTCTTTTGTCATCTAGTTCAACCTTGATTTTGAATACCCACTTGTTCAACAAAACTCTTTTTCCTGCATGTAACTCAGTCAACACCCCATGTATTATTCTTTTCAAGTGAACTCATCTCATCATTTATGATTTACTCCCACTTGGTTGAATTTTTCATCTGCAAGGCCTCATTAGAAGACTTTGGTTCCCCTTCATCAGTCCATAACAGATAATGTATTGAAGGTGAATACCTATTTGGTGTTTTGATGGTTCTCGATAACCTCCTCACACCTACTCAGATGTCACTTTCTCTACCTCTGATTCCTTGCCTTGAGAGTTTCTTGAGTTTCTGTTGCAACATCACTCCGTGAATTTTTCTGCAACTCAACCTCAAATATCATGTACTTTGTAGTCTCTGAATCTTTCATTCTCCTTTTCCTTGTATAGGACATTTTCATCAAATTTCGCGTCAAAATGTCTTAGATTTTTTTTTTTTTATTTTTATCATCTCAAAACTTGTACTCAAACATGTTAGAAACATAGCCTATGAAGTAGCACTTTGCATGCAGTGTAACCAAAAGTTCACTTCTCAAAGTGAGAGTACTTAAATTATTTTCCCACGCATACCTCTTCTAATATCTTAAACTTCAAAGATACTAACGGTCCTCTATTGATCAAGTTAACTTTTGTATTTTACAGCATCAACTTAGAATGTCTTTGGCAACCTATAATAAATCCTCATACTCTTTCTCTGCTTATTTAATGTTCTGTTCATCCTTTTAATAATACAATTTTGTCTTGCCTTACTAGAAATTGTCCACATTAATATGATTCTCCCTCTGTTCCATAGAATACTTTTGAATTTTGGCTTGTCATACTCTCTTCCATTGTCATACCTCATGTAATTGATCTTCAAATCGGTTTGATCTTTAACTTCAACTTTCCACCTCTTGGAGGTGTCAAACATATTTGACTTGTATTTCAAAAAATAAACTCATACTTTCATCTTGAAATCATTTATAAATGTGACGTAGAACTTGGATCCATCCGAAGATGAAATTAAAGATGGTCCCAAAACATCATATGGACAAATTTGAACCATACTTTCTTCAATTATCAAATCTGTGTGAAGCTAACTCATTTCTATTTACCCATAATATATCTCACAAAGACCCATATCTACAAATTTCAAATCTTTTAATACTTGTTTCACAACCATCATTTTCATTCATTTGATGCTCATATGTAGTCTTCTGTATTATAGACTTGAATTGGAAGCATTCTCAGCATCAATAAACATATTTATACAACTTGTAGTGGTATATAAAGTTCCATACTTTGTGTCATGTGATATCCCCATAGTATTCTTCACAATTTTCAACTAACTCTTTCCAAACTCTACTACATAACCTATGTTGTTCAATTGACCAATAGATATAAAAAATTTCTTAAGATCAGAAATATATCTATATCATCTAAATGTCTAATGATTTTCTACTAGATTTTGCATGCAAACCTCTCCTTTTGTTCAATCTCCAAGGTTTTGTGGTCAGCCCAATAAACCTTCCTAAAATTTTCATATTTGAAATTTTGAAACAATTCTTTACTGGGAGACAAATGAAAAGATCACCAAATCTAAAATTCAAGATTCACACTAAAAATTAGAGCATTCCAGTATCTTCGGCTAAATTTGTAGAATTATTATCATCTCAAGATTTGTGATACAACTTTCTCTTTTATTTTGTATAATTTGTCCGAAAGTGCCGCTTTCTCGGTAATTCTAACACTCTTACTTGTGAACTTTACATCATTTTACTATATACTTTTGCAAGCAACCAATTCTTGTTCTTAATTCTTGTTCTTGATTCTTTTTCTTGTCATAGTTCTTGTTTCTTGTCAAGTTCCTTAAGACACTCCCTAGAATTTAACGTTCAAGACATGAGCATAACAACTTGTGTTCAAGGCTTCATGTATTCCAAGCGACACATTCTGAAACTACTTTTAAGGCTTTATTCGTGCCAAGCCACATAGTCAATACCTGTATCCAGGGCTTCATTATCACAAGTAGCAAGTAATTTACTTATTACTTTCTACTTGTGATGGTGTATACTTACACTCATACTTGTGAACTTTACATCATTTTGTTTTATAATTTTGTAAGCGACCAATCCTTGTTCTTGATTCTTTTTCTTTTCCTAGTCCTTATTTCTTGTCATATTCCCTAAGACACCCCCCTAAGATTTACCGTACAAGACATTAGCATGACAACTTGTGTTCCAAGCTTCATATATTTCAAGCGACACAGTCCGAAACTACATTTAAGGCTTCTTTCGTTCCAAGCCAAGTAGACTATACCTATCCAGGGCATCATTATCACAAGTAGCAAGTCTTATTACTTGCTACTTTTGATAGTGTATAATTGCGCTCATACTTGTAAACTTTACGTCATTTTACTATATACTTTTGTAAGCGACCAGTCATTGTTCTTGTCCTAGTTCTTGTTTCTTAGGCGGCTAGTTGTGTAGCTTTGTGGGAGGACTAGGGGTTCCTGATAAATTCTCATTGCTCTCCAACCATTTCGAATGGATAATGTGTCACCACGTTGTACAACTAATTAATTTCATGGGAACGGGTTGGGTTGCCCCCTCCTAGGGGACTATCATGAGTCTAGGAGGTACTTAGTACACCCCTAGGCAAGATGCCATGTCGTCTCAAATAGCCATGCAGAGGTAGCGCCTCATAGAGAGACATTGATTATTACAACTCGACATAAGGCATTCTTGGGGACTAAATGAAAGGACGGATGACCAGAGAAGCTCCAAGTGACAAGTTCCTAGGGGCAAGCCCCTAGGGACTAAGAATAGAACCAGATGTCCTTGAGCCAATTAGAAGCTCGTGGGAATCTGTTAAGCTTAGGATGCGATGAGAGCCTACAAGTAGGTGACTTACTGAGTATAATTTTTATACTCATCCTTGTTATATCTTTCTTTTTTCAGGTGCATGAGGTGTCAAGTCAAGAGAGGGCGTGATCAAAGATGTGGATTGTCACATAGGAATGC